AACTGCCAGTTCTGCTTCTAATATTAACCTGCAAGATATAGCCCCCACTCAACCGATTTCATCACCCCTTGGCAAATGGTAAGCCCAAATTGCATTAAGTAAACTTAAGAAATCAGACACCCACTAATTTATAAATAAGAATACAATCTATTAAGAAACACTTATGACACTTATGAATGTTACTGTCAGTGGATCAAGAACAGTATCTTCACGATTGTCAGAAAATAATTCCATTTTAACAGCTCTAAAATATATCAATAACCAATCTAAACATACACAATTCATCATTGTTTTAGTTTCTCTATCATGCCTTCAATCGATTAACAATATGTATTTTAAACATCCACTTTTAATCCAAATTCTTGACTTAAATAATGATCCTGATACTGGCCAAGATGACATCGTCTTTTGTTGCTTACCCAGCCATGTTGGAATCATCTGGTAACACAATGGCCGATGCTGCTGCAAAAGCACCACACAAATATGTGATACCACTTCTTATCCCAATAAAAAAAACTCATCCTCCATCTGCTTGAAAAAAATATCTCAGCTTCAATAAAAAGTCTCGGCCGCAATATGACCATCCTCATCAATACAGAGTATTTCGTGAACAAAGCGATAATCTTTGACATGGAGACATGACCATGAGAGTCATTATGCCCGTAACCCTTATTTATTACGGGACCTGTTTTGTTGCGAATTTACATTTGCTTGGTTGTAGAATGAGTCCTGCTTCATTGATCTTTTTTTCTAGAATACTGCCTTGAGTTGACTCAAACATTCCGAAAACGTTTCAGAAAATATTATGATGCCATCTACATATATTGATATGTAATGCCAATTCATATCTATTAGTGCTCTGAAATGGTTTGCCGAAATTACATGGGAACATTTTTTAGGCCGAAAGGGAGGCGATTCCTTTCAAGAACACCATCGGGTGTAATGAAGGCCGAACTTTTGTTTTCTATGTGGATGGATTGGTATTTGCTAAAAGACACTAGCACAATCAAGGACAATACAAATTTGCCATTGCTGTCGCCTACGGCATCAACGTCAGCTTCACAACGTTGTGGAGGGAAATATGTAGGCTTGGCAACTGCATTGAGGCGTCTATAATCTACGGCAAAGTGGTAAGTGCTATCACTTTTTAAAGGCCAAAGGAGAGTGCAATTCAGAAGATCTGGGAGGAGTGATATTGGCTTCTAACATTTCCTGCACCTGTCTGGGACATTATTTCCTAATGGCTGCGTTTTGCCTATAAAAAGGGAGTCAAATGGATCTGGAGTCACCTGTTGCTATTTTGTGATGATGTAAGTGAGTGTGTCCTAATTTTGGCCTATCTGAGGCAAAACCTGATCTTTGGGATTGGAGATATCCTGTTTACAGTATACGTGTACTTTCAGTATTTGTATAACGGTTTAGGTGACAAAAGCTCCACGATGTGCATCGGGGTATTGCTATGGTGCAAACCACTTCAATAGGTTTTTTTAAAACTTAATTTATCCAAAATACCTTAAAAGTTCCAAAAAGTGCACTGCATTTGTCTCCTGTCTGTTTAATGTATACAGCAAACATTCGGCCTATCCGCTCTGATCATAAGCCCCCTCCTGGCAAGACCCTTAATAAGTAAGGATAATAATTTATGGATGAGCAACGTCTTTATTACAATTAAGAGCGACGTTTCAGTGTAGGTTCTAACACCGTTATCAAGCAAGTTATCTTTGCTTGATGACGGTGTTAGAACCTAAATCGAAACGTCGCTCTTAATTGCAATAAAGAAGTTGTTCATCCATAAATTCTTATCCTTACTTAGTACTCCAACTGTTTAATGCCCATCAAAGAAGGACCCTTAATCCCCAGCGTTATCTATACATGTTAATCAACACCTCCGTATGTCGCCGGATCTTACGTATGTTCGTGTATGTGGGTCGCTGGCCTGGCACCACATCATCACTACAATCCACCAGTAGTTATGAAACATGTCAAGTTGACCAGTTTTCTGTCAATTTGAAGAAAACTTCACACTTGGTTTCACATCTCCCAAGAGTGCTCTATCATCCTACTGTATTCATTGTTTTAACATCACCTACATCTCGGCAGTTATTATGTTTTAGTGAACAATCAGAAAAGTTTAACATTTTTTTCCATAGGTTGAATTTGAAATGTGTTGTAAAAAAAGAAGCTCTCTTTGAAGTAGAAAAAAAACAGCCCCTAAAATTGAAAAGAAAAGAAACATGACTCTACCCCAAAAACCCAAGCCACTCCTAAATATCAAATGGTTCGCCCCTTACTAACTTAGATTGTTAGTAGATGTACCCTCGAGGTGGATTGAAGTAGAGTAAAATTATTGTCCGCTAAGACGGTGTGTAAGTTCCACGTCATTCAAAGTATTTTAATGCGTGCCAGACTATTAAAAATAGTATATTTGTTATTTTACAATGATGGCTTAACTTGCATACAATGGCCAGCAGCTGAAGGGGTGGTACAAATCCCACTGGGAAACTGTGCAGGAAGCAGAGGTAGTATGAGGACGGCGATTTATAGACCTTTTTCTATTGTGCTGTTATTTGATAGTTTATTCTTTTACATACTCTCGGACTAGTTTCAACTACAATCTGTGACATAATTGTATACACTCTAAATAATTTATTATCAATGTATACTTTTGTACTCGTCACGGTATGCCTGAAATATTGTCGATGTGACGTAAAAGTTTAACTCATTCACTCACTATGGTATGCTAAGAACGTATCAAATGAAATATCCAAATGAAGAACACAAGCTGGTTCATTTTTCAAGCGTTTTGTCTTGCAAATTCAGGCGATGTCACATGCGATGTGCCAGTGACAATGAATGTCAATGTGCTGTGTGTTTCATTGTAAGTGAAAAGCTGATCATAAACTTTATGTAACTCTTTCGTCTTGCACAGGGTACATCGGCTCCGCTTGTACTGAGAACGATGACTGTCACGTCGTGAAGTCAGTGTGTTTCAACGGGACGTGTAAATGCGTCCCCGGTTACAACTACAACCCCCGAGACGACACCTGCCTCCAACGTACGTTTCTTCCCCACATCACAGTAGGATCATGTGGTTGGTCTCAACGACACCAGATTTGTTTAAGCAAGAAAGTTACCCCCACTGTCATTTTATTCGTAATTCGTAGACTCATCAATCACCCAGTGAATGTTAAGAATGTGTTCGTTATCAGCGCGACGCATACTTTAGAGTAATTGCGTTGACCTACTGGAACTGAATTACCGTATTACGTATATGATCAACTGTGCTTCTCCGGTATGTGCCTTTACAGGGCGACATAGCACAGCACATGCATGTACATCGTATTCACTACTTTTCCCCTCTGCCCCACACATCTCTCATACTCATCCAACAGCATCAATCCCTCACACTAATACCATCTCCTCCAACGGTCACATTCATATCATCACCTCCATCCGTCACACGCACACATCTCTTCCATCCGTCACGCTCACACCATCTCCTCCATCTGTACCACATATTTCATCTCGTTTCCACACACTCATACCATCTTCTCCTCCATCCGTCACACTCATACCGTCTCCTCCATCCGTCACACTCACACCATCTCCTCCATCCGTCACACTCATACCACCTCCTCCATCCGTCACACTCATACCGTCTCCACCAACCGTCAAAATCATACCACCTCCTTCATCCGTCACAACCACACTATCTCCTCCATCCCTCACACTCACACTATCTCCTCCATCCGTCACACTCATACCGTCTCCTCCATCCGTCACACTCACACCATCTCTTCCATCCGTCACACTCATACCACCTCCTCCATCCTTCACACCCGTACTATCTCCTCCATCCCTCACACTCATACCACCTCCTCCATCCGTCACAATCATACCGTCTCCTCCATCCGTCACACTCATACCATCTCCTCGAACCGTCATACGCATACCATCTCCTCCATCCGTCAAACTCATACCATCTCCTCCATCCGTCACACTCACACTATCTCCTCCATCCGTCACACTCATACCGTCTCCACCAACCGTCAAAATCATACCACCTCCTCCATCCGTCACACTCACACTATCTCCTCCATCCGTCACACTCATACCGTCTCCACCAACCGTCAAAATCATACCACCTCCTTCATCCGTCACAACCACACTATCTCCTCCATCCGTCACACTCATACCGTCTCCTCCATCCGTTACACTCACACCATCTCTTCCATCCGTCACACTCATACCACCTCCTCCATCCGTCACACCCACACGATCTCCTCCATCCGTCACACTCATACCACCTTCTTCATCCGTCAGACTCATACCATATCCTCCATCCGTCACACTCATACCGTCTCCTCCATCCGTCACACTCATACCGTCTCCTCCATCCGTCACACTCACACCATCTCCTCCATCCGTCACACTCATACCACCTCCTCCATCCGTCACACTCATACCGTCTCCTCCATCCGTCACACTCATACCGTCTCCACCAACCGTCAAAATCATGCCACCTCCTTCATCCGTCACACCCACACTATCTCCTCCATCCCTCACTCTCACACTATCTCCTCCATCCCTCACACTCACACTATCTCCTCCATCCGTCACACTCATACCGTCTCCTCGATCCGTCACACTCACACCATCTCTTCCATCCGTCACACTCATACCAACTCCTCCATCCGTCACACTCACACCATCTCCTCCATCCGTCACACTCATACCACCTCCTCCAGCCGCCACACTCATACCGTCTCCTCCATCCGTCACACTCATACCGTCTCCTCCATCCGTCACACTCATACCGTCTCCACCAACCGTCAAAATCACACCACCTCCTTCATCCGTCACACCCACACTATCTCCTCCATCCGTCACACTCATACCACCTCCTCCATCCGTCACACTCATACCGTCTCCTCCATCCGTCACACTCATACCGTCTCCACCATCCGTCACACTCATACCGTCTCCTACATCCGTCACACTCATATACCACCTTCTTCATCCGTCAGACTCATACCATGTCCTCCATCCGTCACACTCATACCGTCTCCTCCATCCGTCACACTCACACCGTCTCCACCAACCGTCAAAATCATACCGTCTCCTTCATCCGTCACACCCACACTATCTCCTCCATCCGTCACAATCATACCGTCTCCTCCACCCGTCACACCCACACTATCTCCTCCATCCGTCACACTCATACCACCTTTATCATCCGTCACACTCACACAATCTCCTCCATCCCTCACACTCACACTATCTCCTCCATCCGTCACACTCATACCGTCTCCTCCATCCCTCACACTCACACTATCTCCTTCATCCGTCACACTCACACTTTCTCCTCCATCCGTCACACTCATACCGTCTCCACCTACCGTCACACTCATACCGTCTCCTCCATCCGTCACACTTCTACCATCTCCTCCATCCGTCGCACTCATACCATCCCCTCCATCCGTCACACTCATAACGTATCCTCCATCCGTCAGACTCATACCATCTCCTCCATCCGTCACACTCATAAAACCTCCTCCATCCGTCACACTCATACCATCTCCTCCATCCGTCACACTCATACCATCTCCTCCATCCGTCACATCCATACCACATCCTCCATCCGTCACACTCATACCATCTCCTCCATTCGTCACACTCATACCATCTCCTCCATCCCTCACACTCATACCATCCCCTTCATCCGTCACACTCATACAACTTCACCATCCGTCGCACTCATACCACTCCTCCATCCGTCGCACTCATAGCGTCTCCACCATCCGTCACACTCACACCGTCTCCTCCATCCGTCACACTCATACCATCTCCTCCATCCGTCACACTCATACCATCCCCTCAATCCGTCACACTCATACCACTCCACCATCCGTCACACTCATACCACTCCTCCATCCGCCACATTCATACCGTCTCCTCCACCCGTCACACCCACACTATCTCCTCCATCCGTCACACTCATACCACCTTTATCATCCGTCACACTCACACAATCTCCTCCATCCCTCACACTCACACTATCTCCTCCATCCGTCACACTCATACCGTCTCCTCCATCCCTCACACTCACACTATCTCCTTCATCCGTCACACTCACACTTTCTCCTCCATCCGTCACACTCATACCGTCTCCACGTACCGTCACACTCACACCGTCTCCTCCATCCCTCACACTCACACGAACTCCTCCATCCGTCACACTCATACCGTCTCCTCCATCCGTCACACTTATACCATCTCCTCCATCCGTCGCACTCATACCACTCCACCATCCATCACACTCACACCGTCTCCACCAACCGTCACACACATACCATCTCCTCCATCCGTCAGACTCATACCATCTCCTCCATCCGTCACACTCATACCACGCCCTCCATCCGTCAAATTCATGTCATCTCCTCCAACCGTCACACGCATACCATCTTCTCCATCCCTCACACTCATACCGTCTCCTCGAACTGTCAGACTCATACCATCCCCTCCATCCGTCACACTCATAGCGTATCCTCCATCCGTCAGACTCATACCATCTCCTCCATCCGTCACACTCATAAAACCTCCTCCATCCGTCACACTCATACCATCTCCTCCATCCGTCACACTCATACCATCTCCTCAATCCGTCACATCCATACCACATCCTCCATCCGTCACACTCATACCATCTCCTCCATTCGTCACACTCATACCATCTCCTCCATCCCTCACACTCATACCATCCCCTTCATCCGTCACACTCATACAACTTCACCGTCCGTCGCACTCATACCACTCCTCCATCCGTCGCACTCATAGCGTCTCCACCATCCGTCACACTCACACCGTCTCCTCCATCCGTCACACTCATACCATCTCCTCCATCCGTCACACTCATACCATCCCCTCAATCCGTCACACTCATACCACTCCACCATCCGTCACACTCATACCACTCCTCCATCCGCCACATTCATACCGTCTCCACCATCCGTCACACTCATACCGTCTCCACCATCCGTCACACTCACACCGTCTCCACCAACCGTCACACACATACCATCTCCTCCATCCGTCAGACTCATACCATCTCCTCCATCCGTCACACTCATACCACGCCCTCCATCCGTCAAATTCATGTCATCTCCTCCAACCGTCACACGCATACCATCTTCTCCATCCCTCACACTCATACCGTCTCCTCGAACTGTCAGACTCATACCATCCCCTCCATCCGTCACACTCATAGCGTATCCTCCATCCGTCAGACTCATACCATGCCCTCCATCCGTCACACTCATAAAACCTCCTCCATCCGTCACACTCATACCATCTCCTCCATCCGTCACACTCATACCATCTCCTCAATCCGTCACATCCATACCACATCCTCCATCCGTCACACTCATACCATCTCCTCCATTCGTCACACTCATACCATCTCCTCCATCCCTCACACTCATACCATCCCCTTCATCCGTCACACTCATACAACTTCACCGTCCGTCGCACTCATACCACTCCTCCATCCGTCGCACTCATAGCGTCTCCACCATCCGTCACACTCACACCGTCTCCTCCATCCGTCACACTCATACCATCTCCTCCATCCGTCACACTCATACCATCCCCTCAATCCGTCACACTCATACCACTCCACCATCCGTCACACTCATACCACTCCTCCATCCGCCACATTCATACCGTCTCCACCATCCGTCACACTCATACCGTCTCCACCATCCGTCACACTCACACCGTCTCCACCAACCGTCACACACATACCATCTCCTCCATCCGTCAGACTCATACCATCCCCTCCATCCGTCAAATTCATGTCATCTCCTCGAACCGACACACGCATACAATCTCCTCCATCCATCACACTCATACCGTCTCCTTGAACCGTCACACTCATACCATCCCCTCCATCCGTCACACTCATACCGTCTCCTCGAACCGTCAGACTCGTACCATCCCCTCCATCCGTCACACTCATACTATCTCCTCAATCCGTCACACTCATACCGTCTCCTCGAACCATCAGACTCATACCATCTCCTCCATCCGTCATACTCATACCATCTCCTCGAACCGTCACACACATGTCATCTCCTCCATCCGTCAAATTCATACCATCTCCTCCATCCGTCACACTCATACCATCCCCTCCGACCGTAACACTCATACCATCTCCTCCATCCGTCACACTCATACCATCTCCTCGAACCGTCACACGCATACCATCTCCTCCATCCGTCACACTCACACTATCTCCTCAATCCGTCACACTCATACCGTCTCCTCCATCCGTCAAACTCATACCATCACCTATATCCGTCGCTCTCATACCACTCCACCATCCGTCACACTCACACCGTCCCCACCATCCGTCACACTCATACCATCCCCTCCATCCGTCACACTCATACCGTCATCTCCTCCACCCGTCAGACTTCCACCATCTCCACCATCCGTCACACGCATACCGTCTCCTCCATCCGTCAAACTCATACCATCACCTATATCCGTCGCTCTCATACCACTCCACCATCCGTCACACTCACACCGTCTCCACCATCCATCGCACTCATACCATCCCCTCCATCCGTCACACTCATACCGTCATCTCCTCCACCCGTCAGACGTCTCCACCATCCGTCGCGCTCATACAACTCCACCATCCGTCACACTCATACCGTCTCCTCCATCCGTCGCACTCATACCACTCCACCATCCGTCACACTCATACCGTCTCTTCCATCCGTCACACTCATACCATCTCCTCCATCCGTCACACTCACACCGTCTCCACCATCCATCACACTCATACCATCCCCTCCATCCGTCACACGCATACCGTCTCCTCCATCCGTCAAACTCATACCATCACCTATATCCGTCGCTCTCATACCACTCCACCATCCGTCACACTCACACCGTCTCCACCATCCATCGCACTCATACCATCCCCTCCATCCGTCACACTCATACCGTCATCTCCTCCACCCGTCAGACGTCTCCACCATCCGTCGCACTCATACAACTCCACCATCCGTCACACTCATACCGTCTCCTCCATCCGTCGCACTCATACCACTCCACCATCCGTCACACTCATACCGTCTCTTCCATCCGTCACACTCATACCATCTCCTCCATCCGTCACACTCATACCATCTCCTCGAACCGTCACACGCATACCATCTCCTCCATCCGTCACACTCACACTATCTCCTCAATCCGTCACACTCATACCGTCTCCTCCATCCGTCAAACTCATACCATCACCTATATCCGTCGCTCTCATACCACTCCACCATCCGTCACACTCACACCGTCCCCACCATCCGTCACACTCATACCATCCCCTCCATCCGTCACACTCATACCGTCATCTCCTCCACCCGTCAGACTTCCACCATCTCCACCATCCGTCACACGCATACCGTCTCCTCCATCCGTCAAACTCATACCATCACCTATATCCGTCGCTCTCATACCACTCCACCATCCGTCACACTCACACCGTCTCCACCATCCATCGCACTCATACCATCCCCTCCATCCGTCACACTCATACCGTCATCTCCTCCACCCGTCAGACGTCTCCACCATCCGTCGCACTCATACAACTCCACCATCCGTCACACTCATACCGTCTCCTCCATCCGTCGCACTCATACCACTCCACCATCCGTCACACTCATACCGTCTCTTCCATCCGTCACACTCATACCATCTCCTCCATCCGTCACACTCACACCGTCTCCACCATCCATCACACTCATACCATCCCCTCCATCCGTCACACTCATACCGTCATCTCCTCCACCCGTCAGACGGCTCCACCATCCGTCGCACTCATACAACTCCTCCATCCGTCGCACTCATACCACTCCACCATCCGTCACACTCATACCGTCTCTTCCATCCGTCACACTCATACCATCTCCTCCATCCGTCACACTCATACCATCTCCTCCATCCGTCACACTCATACCGTCTCCACCAACCGTCAAACTCATACCAAATCCTTCATCCGTCACACTCACACTATCTCCTCCATCCGTCACACTCATACCGTTTCCTCCATCCGTCACACTTATACCATCTCCTCCATCCGTCACACTCACACTATCCCCTCCATCCGTCACATCCATACCACATCCTCCATCCGTCACGCTCATACCGTCTCCTCCATCCGTCGCACTCATACCACTCCACCATCCGTCACTCATACCGTCTCCTCCATCCGTCACACTCATACCATCTCCTTTATCCGTCACATCCATACCACATCCTCCATCCGTCACACTCATGCGATCTCCTTCATCCGTCGCACTCATACCGTCTCCTCCATCCGTCACACTCATACCACTCCACGATCCGTCACACTCATACCGTCTCCTCCATCCGTCGCACTCATACCACTCCACCATCTGTCACACTCATGCGATCTCTTCCATCCGGCGCACTCATACAAGTCCACCATCCTTCACGCTCACACCATCCCCTCCATCCGTCACACTCATACCATCTCTTCAACCTGCAACATTCATACCACCTCCTCCATCCGTCACACTCACACTATCTCCTCCATCCGTCACACTCATACCGTCTCCACCAACCGTCATACTCATACCATCTCCTTTATCCGTCACATCCATACCACATCCTCCATCCGTCACACTCATGCGATCTCCTCAATCCGTCACACTCATACCGTCTCTTCCATCCGTCAAACTCATACCATCACCTATATCCGTCGCTCTCATACCACTCCACCATCCGTCACACTCACACCGTCTCCACCATCCGTCACACTCATACCATCCCCTCCATCCGTCACACTCATACCGTCATCTCCTCCACCCGTCAGACTTCCACCATCCGTCACACGCATACCGTCTCCTCCATCCGTCAAACTCATACCATCACCTATATCCGTCGCTCTCATACCACTCCACCATCCGTCACACTCACACCGTCTCCACCATCCATCGCACTCATACCATCCCCTCCATCCGTCACACTCATACCGTCATCTCCTCCACCCGTCACACGTCTCCACCATCCGTCGCACTCATACAACTCCACCATCCGTCACACTCATACCGTCTCCTCCATCCGTCGCACTCATACCACTCCACCATCCGTCACACTCATACCGTCTCTTCCATCCGTCACACTCATACCATCTCCTCCATCCGTCACACTCACACCGTCTCCACCATCCATCACACTCATACCGTCATCTCCTCCACCCGTCACACGTCTCCACCATCCGTCGCACTCATACAACTCCACCATCCGTCACACTCATACCGTCTCCTCCATCCGTCGCACTCATACCACTCCACCATCCGTCACACTCATACCGTCTCTTCCATCCGTCACACTCATACCATCTCCTCCATCCGTCACACTCACACCGTCTCCACCATCCATCACACTCATACCATGCCCTCCATCCGTCACACTCATACCGTCATCTCCTCCACCCGTCAGACGTCTCCACCATCCGTCGCACTCATACAACTCCTCCATCCGTCGCACTCATACCACTCCACCATCCGTCACACTCATACCGTCTCTTCCATCCGTCACACTCATACCATCTCCTCCATCCGTCACACTCATACCATCTCCTCCATCCGTCACACTCATACCGTCTCCACCAACCGTCAAACTCATACCACCTCCTTCATCCGTCACACTCACACTATGTCCTCCATCCGTCACACTCATACCGTTTCCTCCATCCGTCACACTTATACCATCTCCTCCATCCGTCACACTCACACTATCTCCTCCATCCGTCACATCCATACCACATCCTCCATCCGTCACACTCATACCGTCTCCTCCATCCGTCGCACTCATACCACTCCACCATCCGTCACACTCATACCGTCTCCTCCATCCGTCACACTCATACCATCTCCTTTATCCGTCACATCCATACCACATCCTCCATCCATCACACTCATGCGATCTCCTCCATCCGTCACACTCATACCACTCCACGATCCGTCACACTCATACCGTCTCCTCCATCCGTCGCACTCAAACCACTCCACCATCTGTCACACTCATGCGATCTCTTCCATCCGGCGCACTCATACCAGTCCACCATCCTTCACGCTCACACCATCCCCTCCATCCGTCACACTCATACCATGTCTTCTACCTGCAACATTCATACCACCTCCTCCATCCGTCACACTCACACTATCTCCTCCATCCGTCACACTCATACCGTCTCCACCAACCGTCATACTCATACCATCTCCTTTATCCGTCACATCCATACCACATCCTCCATCCGTCACACTCATGCGATCTCCTCAATCCGTCACACTCATACCGTCTCCTCCATCCGTCAAACTCATACCATCACCTATATCCGTCGCTCTCATACCACTCCACCATCCGTCACACTCACACCGTCTCCACCATCCGTCACACTCATACCATCCCCTCCTTCCGTCACACTCATACCGTCATCTCCTCCACCCGTCAGACTTCCACCATCCGTCACACGCATACCGTCTCCTCCATCCGTCAAACTCATACCATCACCTATATCCGTCGCTCTCATACCACTCCACCATCCGTCACACTCACACCGTCTCCACCATCCATCGCACTCATACCATCCCCTCCATCCGTCACACTCATACCGTCATCTCCTCCACCCGTCAGACGTCTCCACCATCCGTCGCACTCATACAACTCCATCATCCGTCACACTCATACCGTCTCCTCCATCCGTCGCACTCATACCACTCCACCATCCGTCACACTCATACCGTCTCTTCCATCCGTCACACTCATACCATCTCCTCCATCCGTCACACTCACACCGTCTCCACCATCCATCACACTCATACCATCCCCTCCATCCGTCACACTCATACCGTCATCTCCTCCACCCGTCAGACGTCTCCACCATCCGTCGCACTCATACAACTCCTCCATCCGTCGCACTCATACCACTCCACCATCCGTCACACTCATACCGTCTCTTCCATCCGTCACACTCATACCATCTCCTCCATCCGTCACACTCATACCATCTCCTCCATCCGTCACACTCATACCGTCTCCACCAACCGTCAAACTCATACCACCTCCTTCATCCGTCACACTCACACTATCTCCTCCATCCGTCACACTCATACCGTCTCATCCATCCGTCACACTTATACCATCTCCTCCATCCGTCACACTCACTCTATCTCCTCCATCCGTCACATCCATACCACATCCTCCATCCGTCACACTCATACCGTCTCCTCCATCCGTCGCACTCTTACCACTCCACCATCCGTCACACTCATACCGTCTCCTCCATCCGTCACACTCATACCATCTCCTTTATCCGTCACATCCATACCACATCCTCCATCCGTCACAATCATGCGATCTCCTTCATCCTTCGCACTCATACCGTCTCCTCCATCCGTCACACTCATACCACTCCACGATCCGTCACACTCATACCGTCTCCTCCATCCGTCGCACTCATACCACTCCACCATCTGTCACACTCATGCGATCTCCTCCATCCGGCGCACTCATACCAGTCCACCATCCTTCACGCTCACACCGTCTCCACCATCCGTCACACTCATACCATCCCCTCCATCCGTCACACTCATACCATCTCTTCAACCTGCAACATTCATACCACCTCCTCCATCCGTCACACTCACACTATCTCCTCCATCCGTCACACTCATACCGTCTCCACCAACCGTCACACTCATACCACCACCTTCATCCGTCACACTCACACCGTCTCCTCCATCCGTCACACTTATACCATCTCCTCCATCCGTCAGACTAATACCATCTCCTCCGTCCGTCATACTCATACCATCTCCTTCATCAGTCACATCCATACCACTCCACCATCCGGCACACTTATACCATCTCCTCCATCCGTCACACTCATGCCATCTCCTCCATCCGTCGCACTGATACCACTCCACCATCCGTCACACTTATACCATCTCCTCCATCCGTCACACTTATACCATCTCCTCCATCCGTCACACTCATACCATCTCCTTTATCCGTCTCGCTCATACCACTCCACCATCCGTCACACTCATGCGATCTCCTCCATCCGTCGCACTCATACCACTCCATCATCCGTCACACTCACACCGTCTCCACCAACCGTTACACACATACCATCCCCTCCATCCGTCACACTCAAGTCATCTCCTCCACCCGTCAGACTTCCACCATCTCCTAAATCCGTCACACTTATACCAACACCTGTAACCGTCACACTTATACCATCTCCTCCATTCGTCACACTCATACCATCTTCTTCATTCGTCACACTCATACGAACTCCTCCATCTGTCACACTCATACCGTCTCCTCCATCCGTCACACTCACACCGCCTCCTCCACCTACAACACTCATGTCACCTCCTACATACGTCATACTCACACATCTCCTCAACACGTCATACTCATACTATCTCCTTCATCCGCCACGCTCACACCATCTCCTCCATCCGTCTCACGCATACAATCTCCTCCATCCGTCACACTCATACCATCTCCTCCATCCGTCACATCCATACCACATCCTCCATCCGTCACACTCATACCATCTCCTCCATCCGTCACACTCATACCATCTCCTCCATCCGTCACACTCATACCGTCTCCTCGAACCATCAGACTCATACCATCTCCTCCATCCGTCACACTCATACCATCTCCTCCATCCGTCACACTCACACCATCTCCTCGAACCGTCACGCACATACCATATCCTCCATCAGTCACACTCATACCATCTCCTCCATCCGTCACACTCATACCATCTCCTCCATCCGTCACACTCATACCATCTCCTCCATCCGTCACACTCATACCATCTTCTTCATCCGTCACACTCACACCATCTTCTCCATCCGTCACACAAATACCTTCTCCTCCATCCGCCACACTCATACCATTTCCTCCATCCGTCCTACTCACACCACCTACTTCACCCGTCCTACTCACACCATATCCTCCACACGTCCTACTTACACCATCTCCTCCATCCGTCAAACTCACACTACCTCCTCAACCTGCCACACTCACACTATTTCCTCCACCTGCCACACTCACATCACCTCCCACACCTGCCACACCCACACCATCTCCTCCACACGTCACACTCACACATCTCCTCCACACGTCACACACACATTACCTCCACACGCAAAACTCACACCACCTCCTCTGCACTGTACACTCACATCACCTCGTCCACACGTCACACTAACACCATCTCCTCCACACGTCACACTCACACCATCTCCTCCACACGTCACACTCAAACCACCTCCACACGCAACACTCACACCATATCCTCCACACGTCATACTAACACCATCTCCTCCATCCGTCACACACACACTACCTCCTCCACCTGCCACACTCATGCTATTTCCTCCACCTGCCACACTCACATCACCTCCCACACCCACACCATCTCCTCCACACGTCACACTCAAACTACCTTCACACGCAACACTCACACCATCTCCTCGACACGTCACACTCACATCATCTCGTCCACACGTCACACTAACACCATCTCCTCCACACGTCACACTCACACCATCTCCTCCACACGTCACACTCAAACCACCTCCACACGCAACACTCACACTACCTCCTCTACACGTCACACTCACACCATCTCCTCTACACGTCACACTCACGCATCTCCTCCACACCTCACACTCACACCATCTCCTCCACACGTCACACTCACACCAGCTCCTCTACACGCAACACTCACACCACCTCCTCTACACGTCACACTCACACCACCTCGTCCACACGTCATACTCACACCATCTCCTCCACACGTCACACCATCTCCTCCACACGTCATACTCACACCATCTCCTCCACACGTCACACTCAAACTACCTTCACACGCAACACTCACACATCTCTTCTACACGCAACACTCACACCACCTCCTCTACACGTCACACTCACACCACCTCGTCCACACGTCATACTCACACCATCTCCTCCACACGTCACTCACACATCTCCTCCACACGTCATACTCACACCATCTCCTCCACACGTCACACTCACACCATCTCCTCCACACGTCACACTCAAACCACCTCCACACGCAACACTCACACTACCTCCTCTACACGTCACACTCACACCATCTCCTCCACACGTCACACTCACACCACCTCCTCCACCTACCACACTCATGCCACCTCCTCCACACGTTATACTCATACTATCTCCTTCACCCACCACGCTCACAACATCTCCTCCCTCCGTCTCACGCATACCATCTCTTCCATCCGTCATACTCATACCACCCCCTCCATCCGCCATACTCATGTCATCTGCTCCACACGTTAGACTTCCACCATCTCCTCCATCCGTTACACTCACACCACCTCCACACTTTACACTCACACCATCTCCTCCACACGTCATACTCACACATCTCCTCCACACGTCATATTCACACCATCTCCTCCACACGTCACACTCAAACCACCTCAACACGCAACACTCACACCATCTCCTCCACACGTCATACTCACACCATTTCCTCCACACGTCATACTCACACCTTCTCCTCCACACGTCACACTCACACCATCTCATCCACACGTCACAATCACACCATCTCCTCTACACGTCATACTCACACCATCTCCTCCACACGTAACACTCACACCATCTCCTCCACACGTCATACTCACACCATCTCCTCCACACGTCACACTCACACCACCTCCACCTGCCATACTCATGCCACCTCCTCCACCTGCCACACTTTTCATTTCCTCCACACGTCACACTCACACCATCTCCTCCACACATCATACACACACCACCTCCTCCACACGTAACACTCACACCATCTCCTCGACACGACATACTCACACCATCTCATCCACACGTAACACTCACACCACCGTCACCTGCCACACTCACGCCATCTCCTCCACCTGCCACACTCACACCACTTCCAAACGTCACACTCACACAGTCTCCTCCACACGACATACTCACACCACCTCCTCCACCTGCCACACTCACACCACCTCCTCCACCTGCCACACTCACACCACCTCCACACGTCATACTCACACCACCTCCTCCACACGTCACACTCACCATCTCCTCCACACGACATACTCACACCATTTCCTCCACATGTCATACTCACACCATCTCCTCCACACGTCACACTCACACCACCTCCACCTGCCACACCCAACCTTTCTCCTCCACCTGTCACAATCATTCTATCTCCTCCACACGTCACAGTCACACCATCTCCTCCACCTGACACACTCAAACAATCTCCTTCACCTGCCACACTCACACCTTCTCCACACGTCACACTCACACCATCTCCTCCACCTGCCACACTCAAACTATCTCCTCCATCTGTCACATTCATACTTTCTCCTTGATAATTCTTAAACTGATGTTCTCTCATATCAGGTTGCACCAAGTATGGGAACAGCATGTCGTTATACCCAGGACTGGCGATAACTAAGCACAATGAAATTACCAAACAGCACATGACCATCCAGGAGTGTGTGAAGGCGTGTGTGTCTGAGGCCAACTTCTTGTGCCAAAGTGTGGATACGTTTCATAATTATGGAACATGTTCCTTGCAAGCCGTTGGCTATCTCGATGTCGACAAGATCGATCGAGAAAGGGGACAAACTAACTGGACATATATGCATAGGGACTGTGCCGTTTAGGAAGATCTTGCCTCATGTGTTGATGTTACAGACATCTGTGTAGAAACATCTTGCCTCATGTGTTCATGTTGCAGATATCTTTGAAGGAACATCTTGCATCACGTGTTCTTGTTACAGACATTTGTGTATGAACATCTTGACTCATGTGTTGATGTTTCAAACATATGTGTAGGAACATCTTGTAAATGCATTGTTGTGACAGACATCTGTTCAGGAACATTTTGTCTATGCGTTGTTGTATCAGACATTCGTGAACGAACATCTCGTCTATGCGTTGTTGTGTCAGACATTCGTGTAGGAACATTTTGTCTATGCGTTGTTGTGTCAGACATCTGTTCAGGAACATTTTGTCTATGCGTTGTTGTGTCAGACATTCGTGTAGGAACATTTTGTCTATGCGTTGTTGTGTCAGACATTCGGGTAGGAACATTTTGTCTATGCGTTGTTGTGACAGACATTCGTGTAGGAACATTTTGTCTATGCGTTGTTGTGTCAGACATTCGTGTAGGAACATTTTGTCTATGCGTTGTTGTGTCAGACATTCGTGTAGGAACATTTTGTCTATGCGTTGTTGTGTCAGACATTCGTGTAGGAACATCTTGTCTATGCGTTGTTGTGACAGACAACCGTGTAGGAACATCTTGTCTATACGTTGTTGTGTCAGACATTCGTGTAGGAACATCTTGTCTATACGTTGTTGTGACAGACAATCGTGTAGGAACATCTTGTCTACACGTTGTTGTGTCAGACATTCGTGTAGGAACATCTTGTCTATACGTTGTTGTGACAGACAATCGTGTAGGAACATCTTGTCTATGCGTTGTTGTGTCAGACATTCGTGTAGGAACATTTTGTCTATGCGTTGTTGTGACAGACAATCGTGTAGGAACATCTTGTCTATGCGTTGTTGTGACAGACATTCGTGTAGGAACATCTTGTCTATGCGTTGTTGTGACAGACATTTGTGTAGGAACATCTTGTGTATGCGTTGTTGTGACAGACATCTGTTCAGGAAAATATTGTCTATGCGTTGTTGTGACAGACAATCGTGTAGGAACATCTTGTCTATGCGTTATTGTGACAGACATCTCTTCAGGAACATCTTGTCTATGCGTTGTTGCGACAGACATCTGTGTAAGAACATCTTGTCTATACGTTTATTGTGACAGACATCTGTTTAGGAACATCTAGTATGTGCGTTGTTGCGACAGACATCTGTGTAGGAACATCTTGTCTATACGTTGTTGTGACAGACATCTCTTCAGTAACATCTTGTCTATGCGTTGTTGCGACAGACATCTCTTCAGGAACATCTAGTATGTGCGTTGTTGTGACAGACATCTGTCTAGGAACATCTTGTCTATGCGTTGTTGTGACAGACATTCGTGTAGAACATCTTGTCTATGCGTTGTTGTGACAGACATCTCTTCAGGAACATCTAGTATGTGAATTGTTGTGACAGACGTCTGTTCAGGAACATCTTGTCTATGCGTTGTTGTGACGTTGTTGTGGGGTAGCCTCGTGGTCAAAGCGTTCGCTCGTCACGCTGAAGACCTTCGTTCGATTCCCGACATGGGTACAGTGTGTGAAGCCCATTTCTGGTGTCCCCCGACGTGATATTGCTGGAATATTGCTAAAAGCGGCGTAAAACCATACTCACTCACTCACTATGCGTTGTCGTGACATACATCTTTTCAGGAACATCTTGTCTATAGATAGTTGTGACGGACATAGTTTTAGGAACACCTTGTGTATGCTTTGTTGTGAAAGACATTTGTGAAGGATCATCTTGTCTGAAGGTGGTTGTGAGAAACGTATGTGTAGGAACATCTTGTCTATGCGTTGTTGTGAAAGGCATCTGTTCAGGAACATCTTGTCTATGCGTTGCTGTGAAAGACATCTGTGTAGGAACATCTTTTCTATGCGTTGTTGTGAAAGACATCTGTTCAGAAACATCTTGTCTATGCGTTGTCGTGAAAGACATCTGTGTAGGAACATCTTTTCTATGCGTTGTTGTGACAGACATCTGTTCAGGAACATCTTGTCTACACGTTACTGGAAAGACAACTGTGTAGGAACATCTTGACTCATTTGTTGTTGTGACAGACATATACATTGGGACATCTTGCTCCATGAGTTGTTGTAACATGTTAATGATTAGACCGATGTGCAATTTCCGTTGTTACATTCTGTTGTTAGAGTTTATAACTTGGTACAGAAGATGGATACTCACACAGAATTGCATCAGAAGAAGACCAGAAGATGGACCATACAGTACTGGAGGATGTCGTTTCATTGGACACAGATAATACACATCATAGTTTGGACAAACTTTATGATGCCACCCGAGTAAAGCAACACTGACAAATGCAAAATACTTCTTATTTTCGTCACCCTTGAGAATGTTCATGAGTACAAATACTTTGAAATTATATTCAAAAGATGTAACTTCAGGACAACAAGAAAATTCATTTGTGGTGAAGAAAACATACTTGCATAATAATCTACTGTGATAAGGTCCCTGATTGAGGTACTGCCCCCTTGTATTTGTTATTGCTTATTTATATAAAATGTTAAATTCCCTCAGGTTCTTAGTTACTTTTTATTCGATTATTATGAACACTTGGGCCTTCATTGCATATAAAACATGTGAATGTAGTGCGTCTGTGTTTACGTCATTTTAAGAATAGTCTCCTGAAAAAGTATGAACGTCAAAATGTGTCGTTTATACACTCATAAACTTCACTTTTGCGGTCATGTGGCCAACCTCTCGTCCCACGGAAAAGCAGCACATCGTGTTACCGTCACGTTAACAAATTATATAAATATGATAAATTTATATCAAATAAATAATATTGAAAGTGAAATAATATTCTTCCTGAAATTAAAGACCCAAAGAGTCAACCAAAACGGCGGCTGTTCGGGAATAGAATGTGCTTATCAGCTGTTAGTAATATCATGTTGATGTTAGGAACCAAAAACGTTGTTATTGTTTAACCTTTATCTGTTAGAGTAGTGGCCAGACCCACACACTGCCGACCTACCCCTCCCAATAGTAGAACAAAACATACTTAGATTTCCCTTATGTTTTTGTATCCAACGGACTAGAAAATGATGGTTGTGGTCAAATGTTTTGGTGGCAGATATTGTTTGGGGGTCAAAATGCACTTTTGTTTTGTAAAAAATAGAGAAAATCAAATAAAGTCCCCTTAAAAGGTAGTGCATCTAATGAGTCCTTATTTTTATCATTTATGTGATAGTTAACACATATTAGACTTGAATTATGATTATCTTTTTAATTATAGCTTCTCACAAATTGAGATATTAGTGAAAATAAGCCAAAATATGGTAAATTTTGCTCTATTTCCAATTATTGGAAAACGAGCGGTAATGAATTATCAGTATTATCAACCAAGACATTTGATCTCAAAATGATCCGACACGTCTTATGACGTGACGACAGTGTTCATATTCCATGTAGCTTCTAGAATTTAAAAAAAATTGGTAATCTGTTACCCCACCACCCATTTTGTCAAAATGTGCACTTTTTATATTTCCATTGCTAATTTCATTAAAAATAGCCTAAAAATTGCCTAAAATCAATGATTATTTAAACCACCTAGGAGATACATTTGAAGGTCAATGTCACTTTGAAGGTCACGTTCTAAATCAATACATAAATAGTATTAAAAATGGTACAAATGCACATAT